TTGACCCTGTAATTTCGGGGATGAGTGAAAGCCAGCACAAGTCCAGCCACTCCGTCCGTAGCTTCTCTTGCACTATCGAATCCAGCCAACCGTAGGTCATCACGCCATTGTCCGCGGGTTCAGGTGTATTCAGCTCATACGGATGCATCCGGAACGTTTCAGTGCACTGAAGAGCGCGAGCCCGACCCGTCTGCTCATTCGAAAGCAGAGTGGTCATGACCGCTTGCGACGCTGATGGTCCCAGGATGTGGGAGATGATGCTGTGTTTGAGGGCACTCTTCACACCATCAGACAGTCGTGGAACACGCATGTTCGTCTGTCCAAGACTCGCCTGGAGACCTTTCAGCAAGGCGTGGTAAGCACAATCCCCATCTTCGGCAACCTCGTGCGCTTGAGCTTCTCCCGGGGGCGTGAAGGTGCGGCGGGATTCCCGTCTCTTGACAACGCAGTTCACCTTGGGAAGACTGGACTCAAACCCCGCCTTGTTGGCCGCGTCACGGCAGAGGCGGTAAGCTTGGGGCAGGAGCTGTTGGGGTGTGCACACCCCCGCAACTTCGACTTCAGGTTCGGAGCGAAGAGCAGCAGCAGACACGGCAGCAGCAGCAGCAGTAGCCATGATGGTGCGGGGGAGAAAAGCCGCCAGCAGGGCGAAAATTTTTGTCTTCATCGCACCTGCTGGCGTCTGTGTGTGTGTGTGGTTTGGCGCGCACTCGCGGATCTGCACCGCAGTGGAACTCCCTGTTCGTGTATTGCTTGCGTCGGGAACTGTGTGTCTGGTGTCCCTGCGTTCAGACTTCCTCTGAGAACGCGATCTTTTCGCGCTGTCGAGCCCGCGCTTGCAGTGCAACTTTCGACGAACAACTTGTGCGACAGGAAGAGTAACAACATTATCGACACTCAGGAGGGGTGTAGTCACAAAAGGGTTAATAAATACTGCACCCACAACCGGAGATCAACGACATATCCACTGGTTGTGTCTGCTTCCTGATGTATGGCTATCTGGTACCCAAAGAAGTTCAACCATGATTGTCGTCAACCTTGTTAGTGTGTACTGCCGCCCTCAGCGGTCTGTGGTATTGAGATTGGGTGCTATGTTATCCCAGGAACAGCACATGAACAAGGACCATGCTTTTCATATCCGACAAGCAAGCCCCTCAGCCAAGCTGGTCACCAACACGCAAGCCCCTCAGGCAAGTGCCGGGAGCACACCGCCGTGTGCTCACCCGGGGGGACCGCATTTAGACCTCAACCGCATACATACCCATCACACCCATAGTGCCCATACACGTATCCCCCACAGAGGATGCACAGATCGGACCCATATCCAATTACCACAAATAGCCCCCCCACTTGATACGATGTACAATCTTGCAACCCTTCACGCGTAATCAGCCAAATCAGAAAACACCTCTCGAGAAAACTTATTCAACAAAACTGGCTACGCATTCAACATAAGGCGTTTCCATCAGTTTATTCACGAATCCAACGCGTTCGTCTCTGGAAATAATCTCATACAGTTGACACCAAAGAATCATCTTCAGAAGAGCACCCAACAATATTATTTGTGCCACATCAGAAATGCGTCAGAACGAAAACGGGCACTTCTGGAAAAAACTTCAAAAGAGTGGGCACCAAATCCTCAAACAAATCATAAACTCAACTTCTTGACCAATTAAAACGAGAATTTGGAAAGCACAACGGTCCCAACCATTAATCGTCAAGACATGTCAAATCCTTCCTCCAGTATACTGTCCAAGGATCAAATCCTAAACAGCGCGCACCCGCTAATCGGTACCGTCGCTGCTGTCCAAGAAACGACAGAAAACGTAAGGAAGCATCCACGCAAACAGCCCCCCTGCTGCTAGCTCCCAAAATTCACCCCGAGTTAACATTTCGATGACAACAGCCTCCTTGCTTTGCCGTTCACCTAACACACAACAAGTAGGCGCGACCAGAAAACAAACCAATTCGATTGCTGCTCATGCCCTCTAGAATCATGGTCATACATAACATCCCCCCCCATGATCCTCATGATTTTCGATGCAAGAGCAGCAAAACACGCGATACAAACCAGAAACATCAAAACACGTAACGCACAAGGCATCAAACTCCAGAAAAAGTTCGTACCGTATGCAAACTGTCTCCTCAAGTGGGACTCCGAAAGCCCCCCTGCTCCCTGATCGGTATGCCTTCATGCACGTCAAACAATGCGCTATCATCCCATTTCGTGCGCACGGCCAGCAACACACCGCAGAGAGCGTCCACATAACTCAGAAACTCACATAAAAACCAAAGTATCGAAACATTCTACGTGCAACAAAAAAACTCGACTGAACGTACTCCCTCCAAACAAAACGGAAACCTATGAGGCATTCAGCTGCAAGGTTAAACGCGACTGAAAATATACCAAGAACCAAGGGAAAAAAAATACCCACATGCTGTTTCCTATTCCACAGGTTGTGGCATTGATTATCTTGTCGCAGCGTACAATTATAATCATACCAAGTACAAAAAAAAATACGCACACGCCGTGGCATACACGTGTTTTCTGCATCAAAGTGCACGTTGCGCTAGCGAGAGAAAAACAGACTCAGTGGATATGTTGTATATCAAACAATGCGAAGCCAAATGGCGAAGCTAAAACATACATGCCTGCTCACAAAACCGAACAAAGTCGTAAACGTTTCACATGTTCTCCCACTTGGCTGTAACCAGGTGAGGTCGTCGCTGTCACCGTGTCCTCCCCGTTCCCGGTCGACTCGAGGGCGCCACCGCTGCTGCCGCCGCTGCCATCGCCGCCGTTGCCGTTCCCCCGCCGCCCCGACCGTCATGAGTTCCAGCGCCAACACTGCTGCCGGTGACGTCGCTGCTGCCGCTTCTACCACCGCCGCCGTTGTCGCCGCTGCCGTCTTCTGCTGCCGTCGGACCTCTGGCCGAAGCCACCACTCCTGTCGCTGCTCTTGCCGCCGCCGGTATCGACGCCGGAGCTCTGGCCGAAGCTGCCACTCCCGTCGCTGCTGCGGCGGCCGCCGTTGCCGCCGTTGCCGCCGTTGCCGCCGTTGCCGCCGTTGCCGCCGCCGGAGCTGCCACTCCCGTTCCTGCCCCTATCGAATGGGTACACCACCCCTGGAACCGTCCCCCGTGTCCTCGCGCCATGCGAAGATGTCGTACCAGGGTCGAAGGGGTGCGTCGGGGCTCCACTCCAGGTTTCATCCAACCCCTCGTCCCCGCTCCCATCGGCGCCGCTGTCCTCGCTGCTGCAGCTGCTGCTACTGCTGCTGCTGCTACAGCTGCTGCTGCTTCTGCTGTTGCTCACGTCCACCCCAGCACATTGGGTATCGAGCTCCTTCAGGACTGGCAACGGCGTGGTTGTCTCACCAACCGCTTCCTCCAACTCTTCGTCACATTACTCCGTCAACGGTGCCGCCGCCGCCACCGCCGCCGCCGCCCTTGCGGCCGTCCGGACACCCAACGCCAACGCGGCGACCGGGGACGCCGCTACTGCTGTCGCCGCTGCCGTTCCCCCCGTCACCGATATCGACGCCGCCGCCGCTGCTGCCATCTGGACACCCAACGCCAACGCGGCGACCGGGGACGCGGCTGCCGCTGTCGCCGCTGCCGTCCCCCCCGTCACCGATGTCGCTACCGCCGCCGCTGCGACCGTCTGAGTACCCGGCACCAACGCGGCGACCAGGGACGATGCTGCTGCTGCTGCTGCCGCTTCCGGCGATGCTTGGGTTATTGTGATTCCACGGACGGCGAACTACAACAACGTGATACGATCCAAGCATGTGTTTCTCCGCCACACGCTACTGCTTTATCCCCCCTCCATGAGGTCCAGCTCATCGCGTTGCCGCACAACTGCAGGTGCTACACGTGATGTTGCGGGCCGCTCGGGAGAGCGAGTGGTGGAGTGTGTGTTTACGTTGAGAGAAGCGACGTTGGCGGGGGCTTTCCGGCGAATACACCGCAGACGAACCGGCAGCAGCCCCCCCTCCCCTTCTCACCAATGAACACCCCACCACTCACCTGTCCACCTGCACCCCCGGTGAAGCCGTCCGCTAGCTGTTGTTGCTGCGGCTGTTGCTGAGAGTCACCGCCGTACACTACGCCTGGCTGCTGCTGCTGCTGCTGCTGCTGCCGACACACAGACCCGCCGCCAAACTCGCCGTTCCGCCGCTGCTGCTGAAACGGTCCAGGTCGGTTGTACTTCCAGTATATCACTTCGTGGTTTAATGCCAGGCACTTGATGCTTACGTGTCCAGAACGCCCGCACCGATCGCACTGAGGAGGCCCGTGAAATCGGTTGTACTTCCAGTGGATCATTTTGTAGTTTGGCATCAGGCATTTGATGCTAATGTGTCCAGAACGCCCGCATCGATCGCACTGAGGAGGCCCGTGCAATCTCCTCGGCTCACTGCCGACATAAAACCCACCAGCCGCATGGACATCCCTCCAATCGCGAGTGCAACCCATACCTTGCTGCTGCTGCTGTTGCATCGGCCCCATACACTAACACATGCTGGAGCTTCCGCTGCTGCAACTCTTCGGCGCGCTCGCCGTTGCCGCCGATGCTCTTCGTTCCTCCATCACTCGTAAAATCACTCTTGTTTGGGACCACCTGCCGCCATCCCCATAAATACGCTCCGAGCAGCTCCATAAAATGCTCTGATACCCTCGTCATCGCCGAACCAACACTTGGCCTAGCTATGCTCCACACACGATACATCGTGATAGTGTGCACTGCCGCCCTCAGCGGTCTGTGTTGTTGAGACTGGGTGCTATGTTATCCCAGGAACAGCAGATGAAAAAGGACCATGTATAATACATGCCTGGTCGGCGGGAACCCGGCACGGAACCCTCCGGCGTTGTAGGCGGGTGTGGGAAGCGTTCCCCGTTCTCCTTTTATTTTATTTTGATCGGTCTCCTCGACGCTCTTTCTCGTTTGGTGCGGTAGCTGGTCTTTCTTTCTATCATTTTGTTTCTCTTCCGAGTGGTTTTTGTACCCTATTTTTTTCTGTTTCTTCGTGGGGTCGTGTATGCCGGGTTTTGAGACCACGGGCTCCCAATCTTT